CCCAGGACTTAGGTATCGGGGGCTGCCGCAGAGGGGTCAGGAGATCAGGACGGGGGCTTAGTGCCGCTGGTGCTTTCAGTCCTCGACAGAAGGCTTGAGGCTTCACGGAGGAGCTAGAGGCTCCTCGAAGGAGCTGCGCAGCCTGTTCCAGGCAGGCGTCTTTCGAATGCTGGTGCGCACGCTGTCCCACCCCGTCTTACTTCATCTTGCCATCCATCTCGCTATCCACCAGGCTGCTCTCCTTGTTCCTTGTCCATACTGTCACTTGTCCTGGTGCTGACTTGTCCTGCTCCTCGTGAGCCAGCTGCACTGGCTGCGCGTGCTCGAGTTCGGGCGCCTTCACCTTTTCAACTCGCGCCCGCGGCGGCGGGCGCGCTCTGACGCTGCAGGCGGTGGACCGCCTCGGAGCTCGGCAAAGAAAAGAGGAGGAGGAGGAGGAGGAGGAGGAGGAGGAGGAGGAGGAGGAGGAGGAGGAGGAGGAGGAGGAGGAGGAGGAGGAGGAGGAGGAGGAGGAGGAGGAGGAGAGAGGAGGAGGAGGAGGAGGAGGAGGGGGGGGGGTCAGACAGCGCCCCCCATCCCGCCGCAGGATGCCGGCCCAGGAGCTCGCCATCGCTCGGGCGGCGCCTCCCCGTGCATGCGTCGGTGTCGCGCGAGTGTTCTTCACAGGGTGACCTCTTAGATGCTCGTCGATGGTCCTCGGCGAGGGAAAAATCAACACGTCCGAACGATGCCAAGGGAAGGGGGGGAGGTTGGACGAGACTGATGTCCTGACAGGATCGACTCAAGATGCGCTCCACGATTTCCAAGCTATCCAGCGGCCCTCGTTTCTGGGGCCCGCGTGGACCATGTGGGTGAGAATATGGGAAATCCTGGAAATCTAGGAGCGCATCGTTATCATGACATCTTGCTCATCTGTGGAGGAGGCTTCTTGCGCCAGGAAGTTCGCGCAAACCTCCAAAAGTCTATGCTTATGCAGCTGATTATTCATCTCCGAGGGAGGGAGGGAGGGAGGGAGGGAGGGAGGGAGTGGGGAGGGAGTGGGGAGGAGGTGGGAGGGAGAACGAGAGCAGAGCGCGGAGAGGCAGAGAGAGGTGTAAAGGAACATAAGGAAGGGGAAGGGGATGGGGGCGGTGGCCGTAAGGGAGGGCGAGTGGAAGAGGAAGGGGGGTGGAAGAGGGGAGAGGCGGAGGAAACTCACGGGGGGAAGGGGAACGGGCAGGGTGGGCGGGGTGGGAGAGGTGAGGCGGGAAGTGGGGAACGAGGAGGCGAAGTGGATGGGAAGGGGGCCCCCGGAGAGGAAAGAGAAGCTGGGAAAGAGCAGGTGCCCTCCATCCATCGCATGCTCGCCATGCCGCCCTCCCTCCCCATCCGCCTGCCTGTTCCCCCATTCTGCCCCTCGCTCCGCCCCCCTCCTGCCCCTGCTCGCCCTCCTCCTCCTCCTCTCCCTCCTCCTCCCATCCCTCCTCCTCCTCCTCCACCTATTATTCCTCCTCTTCCTCCTCCTCCTCCTCCGCCTCCACAATTGAACAATACGAATACTACCCTCTTCTCTTCCCTACAGGGCGTTCGGGGAATGGCCGGCCCCCTTCCGCGTACTGGATTGTTTTAAACCAGATTCCCGGGAAACGGGTTTTCGCTGTGGTTGTTGTTCGAAATTGACTACCTACCAGACCACCCCAACCCAACCCGAAGACCCGAATTTCGGGTTGGGGGGGGTAAGGGTTCCACGCGTGTTTTTTCTATGTTTCCCCCCCCCACTAGAAATCGAAGGTAAATCTGAGCCTTCGGGTTGGTTGGGGTGGTTTGGTGGGTGGTGAGAAATGCTGCTCTCGCTGAAGCACTGGACTTCTTTTCGGGCTAATGACCGCTCGTTCCGAATCGTGTTCCCGCTGCAACGCTGGCCTCATTTCCGCGCTTCCGCTCGTTCCGAATCGTGCTCCCGCGCAGCGCTGGCGTTACTATTTCCAGCGCCATGCCACGGCATGGTTTTCGATCCTGCCAAACAGGTCCAAAAATGTACAAAAAGGCCCCCCCCGGAAAAAACAATCGGAAGTGATTCCACATTCGGTGTCGATTCGTTTTTTTCTGGACCGCAGAAGCCCCACACTTTGGGCCGTCGCCACGCCATGCTATGTCAGGCTACGCGTCCTCATGTCCATGCTTCCGCGATTGTTTCTGTTTCGAAATGCTGCTCTCGCTGGAGCGCTAACCTCAATTTCGGGCTACCGCTCGTTCCAAATCGCGTTCCCGATGCAGAGCTGGCCTCATTTCCGCGCTTCTGGTCGTTCCGAATCGTGCTCCCGCTGCAGCGCTGGCGTCATTATTTCCAGTGCAAAGCCACGGCATGGTTTTCGGTCCTTGCAAATAGGCCCGAACATTCAAATGGCTTCCCGAAGAAACCATCGAAGTGGTTACACATTCGGTGTCGATTCTTTGATTTATTGGGCCGCAGAAGCCCCCCCTCATTCTGGGGCGTCGCCACGCCATGCTATGTCATGCAGCGCGTGAAAATCTTCAACACCATGCTATGCCATGTAATGTTATGCCATGCTACGACATCCGATTGTGCGAATAATGAGGAGATCTGCGCCATGGGAAGGGATGGGATGAAGGGGTAGGACGTCAGATATGACGCGAGCGCACCCAGCGTGTCCTCCCCCCCTCCCCTCTCCCCCCCACGGCCCTCCCCCTCCTGCCCCTCCTCTCTCCGTCGTCCCCTGTCCATCCCCCTCCTCCACCCCATCCCCACCTCTTCAGTCGGACCTAGACCAGAAGAGCATCCTTCAAGAACACGAGACCCCCCGTCTGCCAAAACAAACAGGGCATCCGAGCGTGCCCTCCCCAGGATGCACAAGGCCATCCAACAAGCACGAAGGACACGAGGATACCCTCCCCGAACCGACCTCGAACTTACCCCTCGGTCCGACTGTACAGCCCAGGCTGTCCAACCCGCCGACCCCCCCCCCAGAGGCCTCCTAGGTGGGGTCGGAGGATCGCGACGTATCGGGAATACATCGGCGATGCATCGGCGATGTATCGGCGATGCCCCGGCAATGCATCGTCGACGTCGGCGATGCATCGGCGACGTCGACGTGAGGCAAATCGGGCTGCACATCGAGCCGCAATGGCGATGCATTGGCGATGCGGCGCAATCCTCCGACCCCATCTACTCCGACCCCATCTACAGTCATCGGCCTGACCTTAGGAACGATAAATAAGGAAAGAAACCCCTTTTTATCCCAAGGAATAACGCATACGGAACGATGAATCTTGGATAATGCATAAGGAACTGTAAATAACACATGCAAGCCTAAGGAACGACCGAGCCCCTTTTGAAAGGTAAGTGTTCCTTATTCCAGCCGCTCACTCCTAGGAGGCCTGGACCCCCGCGGCGCAGACGCCTGCCCCCCTCCAGCGTGCGCACGGGGCCGAGCTGGCTGAAGGCTCTGTCCTCCTGCCGGGGGCGGCCCTCCTCCGCCCCCTGCCGCCGGAGGAGGGCGAAGACCGCCCACGACTCCTCCGCCTCCTCCTCCGCCTCCGCCGCCTCCTCCTCCGCCTCCGCCTCCTCCTCCTCCTCCTCCTCCTCCCCCTCCTCCCCCTCCCCCTCCTCCTCCCTTCGCTGCCGAGAAAGTCTCGGCGTCGCTCGGGTTCCCAGGGAGCCTGGCGATGCGATGCCTTCACTGGGCTTTCCGCCCGGCTTCGGGCCCAAGACCATCACTGATCCATCCGGCACGGACAAGGACTCACAAGGCCTGGCTCTAGGAGGGCCCCAGTCGGTTGTCGGGCGCTGCGGCATTTTCTAGCATCGGCAGATTTCAGGGTTCTGGAGGAGGGTTACGGTGCTCCCATCACGCTGACGGACCACGTCCCAGAAATAGTTGCGAGCCTTCAGAGAGGTACCGAGACAGTGTCTGCCCGACACGCTGGCGGAGTGTCGAGCGAACTTCGCCACCCAGAACCCGACACTTGAAGAACCTCCAGTTTCGGTGCACTTCCTCGGTGCTCGAAGCTCTTGCTGGTAGTCAAAGCTAGGACAGGTTGGAGTATCATGCAGTGGGGGCCGATCCACACGAAACCTTCCACAAGAAACCCAACCCTGAGACCCCAGGACGTCCACTGTGCATTCCTGTGGGAACGTCATGCTTTCCGTCGCAAAACCATCGAAATCCAAGAAAAAAACAAGGGCACGCTGGAGGCAAGCAGGGTCTTTCTCGGCATAGGCCTCCCCTGTAAGAGGAGGGCGAGGATGAGTGGCGTGGGAGCGAGCGGCAGCAGCAGGAGGCAGGGGTGAACCTAAACGGTGTGTTTCGTTTTCGTTCTGCTTTCGCTTTCCCTCGTCTTGCCTTCAATCCACCTCTACCGCAAAACCTAGGGCTCCCAACTTCGCGCTTCGCGCCCCGCGTCGCGCGAACAACTTCGCGCTCTCGCGCCGCCCCCCCACAGGGAGAAGAGGAGGACGAGGAGCAGGGGGAGAAGGAGCGAGGACCGCGAAGCGCGAATCACTTCGCGCCCTCCTGGGAGCCCTTGAGGACGAAGCCGGAACGAAACCGCCCCGCGAAAAATCGCCAAGACTTCGTGGAGGCCGGGCCCCGGCAGGAGGAGCGGCGCGCGGGGGGCGAGGAGCGGCGCGCAGCGCCCCAAAAAACAGCACCCGAAGGGCCACCACACTGGCCCGAGAGAACCTCACGAGGAGAAGGACGAGGACAGAGAGGAGGAGGAGGAGGAGGAGGAGGAGGAGGACGAGGAGAAGGAGGAGGAGGAGGAGGAGGGGGAGGAGGAGAAGGAGAAGGAGGAGGAGGAGGAGGGGGAGGAGGAGGAGGAGCAGGAGGTGGAGGAGGAGGAGGGGGAGGGGGAGGAGAAGGAGGAGGAGAAGGAGAAGGAGAAGGAGGAGGAGCCCCCAGAACGGCCCGGGAGGCCCTCAGGACAACCCGGGAGGCCCCAAAAGGGCCCAATGATGGGGCCACCAAGGTGGCCCCACGAAGATGGACCTCCACAATTTTCGCAAGATAAGCGAATGGCTCGCAAGGATTACCAGTGCAGAGCAAACGCCTGGAGCGCCTACGCCCAAGTTCTATGAACGGCCCTCAGAGCACCCGAGTGGACGGTGCGCGCTAGAGTAACAGGCATGCACTGACCTATTTAATCGGGGGGCGGCCACGAGGGGGGCGTCCAAGAAGGGGAAGCGCAACTCATGGCCGGCGGCATGTGCGCGGCCCAGGGGGGGGGGGCGGGGAAGTATTGAAATAAGAAGAGGCGCAATGAAATCTGGGGAAACATCATGGCCCCCGCCATGATGTCCACACACCCCTAGTCATCACCCCCCTCTTGGCCGCCCCCGACCTAAGGAACAGCGAGCCCTGCCTATGCGTCACATAGGATCACGAGATGGTCGCCAGCGCCACTGGCGACACGGAAATAATAAGAAGAACCGCCAGACACGCTCCAGCGGACCTCACGCCCTGGCGCCGCCTCCAGCGGCTGCAGAAGAGGGGCCTGCAAACGCCTGCCGCGGCCGTCGCCGCAGAAGCCTGGGCCAGGCACGCCCCACAAAAAATTAAGAGGGAAAGGAAATGAAGGCAGGCATGAAGAGGGAAATGAGGAGGGAGAGGGCAGATGAAGAGGAAATGAAGAGAAAATGAGAGACATGAAGAGGGAAATGCAGAGGAAATGAGGAGAGGGAAAGGAATTGAAGAGGGAGAAGCCCACAGGCGCTGCATGACCAAGAAGCGCAACACACACTGGAGAAAGAAAGAGCGCACGGGCCCGGGGGGCCCGGGCGCCGCTCCTCCAGGTGGCCTCCGGCCCGTTCTGCCCCGGTGCCCGGTTTGTTGGTCTCTGAGACCTCTTGGATGCCTGCTGGGGTCTCTGCGGGAGCCCCTGGGCAGTCTCTGAGAGGCAGTTTGGAAGCATCTCGGGAGGCCTCTTGGGGCCTCCCTTGGGCCTCTTTGGGTCCTCTTGGGGAATAGTTGGGGGCCTGTTGGCGGTTTTCCGGGTCCTCCTTGGGCGGAGGCATCGATATGTTAGTTCGACTTCTCCCCCTCGGGCACTTCTTGGAACTCTCTTGAAGCCGTCTTGGGCGGTCATGGACAACTCTTGGGCGTTTTTTGTGTCTGTGCATATTTTTTGTGCATACATACGTAGATCCGTACACAAAAACACATACATACATACCGTCGAGCGATCGTAGGTACGTGCATACGTACGTACCTACATACAGACAAACAGACAGACAAACATACAGACGTACGTACATACATGCACACATACATACACATACATACATACATACATACATACATACATACATACATACACACACATACATACATACATACATACATACATACATACATACATACATACATACATACATACATACATACATACATACATACATACATGCACACATACACACATGTGTACATTGCATCACCATACATCGCGCGACATTACATGACATTGCATCACATTGCGTTACATTAGAATACATGCAGATAAGATGGCATACATACATGTTTACTTACTCACAAAGGTAGACACATACATACATACATGCATGCATGCATGCATACATGCATACAGCCATACCTGTACGACCACCCTTCGGGTGATGAGGTTGTCGGGGGGGGAGGGGGGGGAACCAACACCTGACTCAATCGAACTCGCTATCGATCTCACTCAACGGGACACTTGTCGATCTCACGATCGATCTCACTCAACGGGACACCACGGGACACCAGGGGCCACCACGGGACACCACGGGACCCCCCGGGACACCTCTCGATCTCACTATCGGTCTCACTATCGATCTCACTATCGATCTTACTCAACGGGACACTCTAGGACACCACGGGACACCTCAGAACACCACATCGATCTCACTATCGATCTCGCTATCGATCTCATTCTTTGGGACACCACGGGACACCTCGGGGCACCACATCAATCTCAGTATCGACCTCAGTATCGATCTCACTATCGAGCTCACTCAACGGGACACCGTGGGACACCTGTCGATGTCACTACCGATCTCACTTTTTGGGACGCCACAGGACATCTCAGGGCACCACATCGATCTCAATATCGATCTCACTATCGATCTCACTATCGATCACACTCGACCGGACACCACGGGACACCACGGGACACCACGGGACACCACGGGACACCGCGGGACACCGCGAGCCACCACCGGACGGGCGGGCGGGGGAGAATCAGTTGTCTTGACTTCGCCCTGGCAACGGCGGACACCACGAGACACCACGTGACACCACGGGACACCGCGGGACACTGCGAGCCCCTGCTGGACGGGCAAGAGAGGGAGAATCATTTGTCTTGACTTCGCCCTAGCAGCGGCGGGTTCGTTCCTCTCACGCGCCCACGCAGCTTCGCCTCGCCCGCACGCACAACACGAACGAAACGATTTCCCGGTTGGGGGTCTCCGTTCCACTGCGATCTCACCCCCCAACCTCCGATATACTTTACTGCATGCATATATACGTACACACATACATAACACATCATCCATCCATCTATACAAACACACATACGTACATACATACATACACAGAAACCATACATACACAGAAACCATACACCATGTACGGATACAAGCAGACACACACACACACATACATGGATACACACTTACATACGTGCATATATACATACGACCATACATATATGCATGCAACCATACATATAATCATACCAATATACAGGCAGACAACCATTCACATGTACAGACATGCATACATTCAATCTCATATACACGCATAAATACATACACACATCCATACATTCATGCATGCATGCGCACATACATATTTGCATACATTCAGACACACATACATACATACATACATACATACATACATACATACATACATACATACATACATACACACATACATACGTACATTACATACATACATACATAAATCTATGCATACTTACATACTTACATACATGCATACATACATACACACATACACACATACTTATATACTTATATATATAAGAACCGCGCGAACGCTTCGCGCGCAGTTCGGTTACAGCGTAGCCCAAGCCAATCTCACAGGATCGGTGAAGATTGATATTATCCTGCATGGATCACCATATGGGAACGTACTTCCTGATGGACGCTCCCGGAGTCACTGAAGAAGGCTCCGGGAAACCGCGGAAGGCAGTCACGAGGAGGACACACGGAGGCCTAAGGTGCCAAGGCACGCGGCTTCAGCTTTAGACCGGGTCCAGTGTCCTCGCACTCACGGACGAGGTTCCAGCACGAGACTTCCTCCAGATTCAAGGCTCAGGGGCCCGAACGTGATGACGGTTACAAGGTTCGGAGGACCCGATCGGATTAATGACATGACCTTCGGGCCCCATAGGGAGATGGCTCCCGCCTGGGGCTTTCTCGCACGTCACTAAGGGACGAGGCTCCCGCACGAAATATCCCCAGATTCACGGCTGAGTGGCCCGGATGTAAAACAGATGCAGGACTCGGATAACCCGCTCGGACTACTACGATGATCTGCGGGCCCTACAGGGAGATGGAGACTTCCTCGCAATTCACTCACAAACGTGGCTGTCGCCAGAGAAGGATTAACGCATGCGTGTGCGTGCGATGATGATGATTCTGAGGATGACGATGTGCAAGTGATGATGGTGATGACGAGATGGTGGTAATGAGCGAGATGTTGATCACGATGATGGAAATGCTGACGACGAATTGGATGCGTGAGATATTGCTCGCGTGTGGTGTGACTGATGATGGTGAGTGAATGGGTGGTTGAAAGAAGATGGTAGTGGTGATAATGAGGATGATGATGATACTGATCTTGTAAACAATGGTGAGGAGCAAGACAACACCAAACAAACAACTAAAATGGCACGGGGGATTACGCGAATCTTACCCCAAAACTCGACACCGCGGTCTGGCGACAACCAAGCGCCGCAGTGCCAGAATCCAGCGAACACCTTGTTGCGTCGCACCTGGGCCGCTCGTTTGACAATCTGCCGTTGTTTTTTATGCTGCGCTTGAGCCTTCTATGCGACCTCTGCCTCATTCATTAGCGTAATTTGCTGGCTTGGCAATTCTTTGAACTTGCTTGCCAAACACTTCCAACCACCGTCTGAGCACGCCCGCCTCAGAATGCCGCACGTGCTCGTGAACAAACACACCTTCGCCTGAACCGCGTCCCTGTATAATTCCACGGCATATTCAACACGCCCTGACGCAACGCAAGAGCGGATTGCATGATGGTAGGAACATCGGTCGGGCTCGAAGGACTGCTCCCGCATCGCATCGAAAACGGCAATGGCTTTCCCGAATTGGCAACTGAACGAGTAGACCTTGACCATAATGCCATAAATTTTTGCAATGGGAGCAACCTCGTGATCAGCCATCTTCATGAACAACTCTTCGGCCTTGTTGCGCATTCCGAGCTGAAGACAAGCGCCCAACACTGCAATGTACGCCTTCCGCTGGAGCTGAATACCTGATCGCTCCATCTCATTGCTCACCTTCAAAACGAATGCCGGATCAGAACGCCCGTAGGCCACAACGACGGAACGGCATGCCCAATTACTGAGGGTGATCCCTGCGCTCTTCATCTTCACGAAATATTCCACGACTCTCTCTGGAGGCTGATCCTTCCACGCTGACAACAAACAATTCTGGGTAGAGGGTGACGGCTCGATTCCGTGAGCCCAAATCAAATCAAGAAGCGCCAATCCGTCCGTTTGAATGCGCTTGTCATCGAGAGTGTCAACGACGAGCTGGAAGAAATTGTTTGACACAGCCTTGTCAATGAGGTGTGCATCAGGAACGGCCCCCTTCTTCAACATTTGATCAAACAACTTAACTGCTGTAATTCTGCTTCCAAGACGAATGGAAACACGCATCACTTCTGACACTTTAGCGAGTGTGTGTGGCACGCCCTCTCTTTGCACGCACTCGCGCATGTACACGTCGAACCTGGGTCGTCGTCTTCCATGTCCAAGCTGCTCGCCTAAAACCTTGGAGTTGCCATGACTATTACCCTGTGTCTTAAGCGGCCCGCGTTTCTCGACGGAATCTGCGCGGCAAACTCTGCGCATACCAGGGAAGACAACTTTGCCGATAAACGATTTTGTAAACATCGCCGTATTCACTTTGTTGTTGTTTCCCTGGCTGTTCGTAGTGCAGGAATGTAGCAAATAACAAAAACTTCCAAACGATAGCAGGAACATGTCGACGTCGATGGTGGCATAACCAAGTGATCCGCGGAAGATGATGGACGCGAAGGATAAAGCGGAGAAAGCAGCACCGAACACAACAACACCCATGCCAACACTGCGGGCGGCACGGCCCCCAGAAAGTTTCCGCAAGGATGTCTGCAGCACCTTCGCAGTCGAGAGTAACATGCGACCCGCCTGGATCACAACTGATATGTAGGAACGTTCAGCGATGTGTGCGTGCCAGTGATATTCTTGCCCACGCTCGGGCCGAGCTGCAATTAAACCCAAACGCGTGGGAACAGCTTGCAACGACAAGACAACCCTGTGGCCGTGCCGGGGCACTCTCGGGGACCTGCTGGTCCGTCTCGGGGCCCTCTTGGCCTGCCCCTGGTGCTGCCCAAGGTAAGAAGTAAGAGGCGAACGATCCCGGCGAAGGACCCAACCGCATGCAGTTGTGAATGCCGCAGTGATGGGTCTCATCTTCGCCCGCGCTCCCCAATGGGGCCACGGGCCGCGCGAGGGGCGCGCAGGAACGCGCGGCGGGGCACGCAGCGCGAACGAAGACGATGGGTCTGCGTGCGAGGGACTGAGAGCGGGTGAGTGTGACGGCGAGTGAGTCTGACGGTGAATGGGAGCACGCGCGCGCGTGAGCCTACGCGCATGTCGACGCCCATGTCGGCGCGCCCCTCACAACGATCGCGCCCGCTTCCTCCCCGTTTTTTTGGTTTCTCCCTCTTTGCCCGCGCGCGCGCGCCCATGTCCAAGGCTGCGGGCGCAGCGCCGCGCAGAGTCCCCGCGGCGCGCGCTGGTCGCCCCGAAGGGGTCCCGGTGACGCGCGCGGGTCGTTCGCTGCGCGGAGCAGAAAGAGCTAGCAGGCCGGCTGATCGCGGGCAAGTCTCTGGCCGCTGGGCAAAGCGACGACGGGAGCGAGCGAGGCGCCGGGCAGAGTGCAGCGTGGAGTTCCCGAGACACGCTGGTCCTCCTCCTTCTTGCCGTTCCCGACCACGTGGCGGGATGTTGGGCGATGTCGGCCGAGGGAGCAGCGCGCCGGAAAGCCGACGGACCAGGGCGAGAGTCCACGGGACCGAGTAAAAAAAGCGGCGGGGCCATGCGGACTGCGCCACTGGGACCTGAGTTGGAGCTCCCTCTGGGGCCACGAAACGTGTGAGGGCGGCGCTGCCATGCGAGCTGCGCCACTGGGACCTTAGGAGGAGCTCCCATTGGAGCCACGAAACGTGTGAGGTGTGTGCCAGAATGGGGCGGCGCCGCCATGCGAGTTGCGCCACTGGAACCTTAGGAGGAATTCCCTATGGGGCCACGAAACGTGTGAGGGGTGTGCCGACATGGGTGGTGGGGACCATGCTGATGATGATGATGATGATGATGATGATGATGATGATGATGCTGATGTTGATGCTGATGCTGATGCTGATGATGCTGATGCTGATGCTGATGCTGATGCTGATGCTGATGCTGATGCTGATGCTGATGACGATGACGATGATGATGATGATGATGATGATGATGATGATGATGATGATGATGATGATGATGAGGCTGTGGATGAGGATGATGCTGCAGATTATGACGCTGATGGATGATGGGCGATGGTGATGATAGTGACGATGATGCTGATGATGGGGAGAAGGAGGGGGGGCAGCAGGAGGAATGAACGCAGGGCGCTGTCTCTTCAAGACGAGGACCCAACACCACATAATGGTTGGGAATTTGTTAGAAATGCGCATTTTCCGGAAACAGTGTGGCGGTGTCCGTTTCTTCGGGCCCTGTTGGAGTCCTCTGGGAGCCGCCTTGGGGCGTTTTGGGGGCCTGCTGGGCTGTCTTGGCGCCATCATGGGCCGCCTGGAAGCCACCTTGACCGACATAGGACCGATCTGGAAGCCCAGGGGGGGCTGGGGAAACTCCGGGGAGGCTTCAAAGGGTGACGTGGAACTCAAATGAGCTCAATGTGTTTCAGCTGCCCTTTGCGCCTGGCATCGGAGGCGACGGGGTGAGATCTCAGTGAAACAGACAGCCCCCCACCGAGAAATCAGTTTCGATGTCGTGTTGGTGTCGTGCGTGCGAGGCTGGTGAGAAAAAAAAACCTCCTCAGGCTACGGCGCCGCTGGGCCAAGAGACCGTCCCACCCAAGGTTGTCTGGAAGTGGCCCGGGGTGTCCCGCTGTGGTCTCCCGTGGTGTTCCGCTGTGGCCCGTCGGTGTCCCCTTGTGGGATCCATCGTGAGATCGACATTGGGGGCGATAGTGAGACCGATACAAAAGATCGATAGTAAAATCGAACGTGGGATCGATCGTGGGATCGTTAAGGAAATCAACTGCAATACGGATACTGGGATCAACATTGAAATCAAGCCACCGGCCCCCCTGCGGGGCCATCAGGCTGCGTGGCGGAGGTGTCCTGCTCCCTGCACCAGTTCCACTTTCCAAAATTCGAATGCTACAATGCTGCTGTCTGCTTCATACTGTAAACTGTTGCTGTCCGCGCGATGGGGGTGAAGCCGGAAACCACCCTGATTACCACACCCGAATCGTGTGCTCTGAATTTCTGAGGGGGCGTGATATGCGAAAGATTACGTGAGATTCGCGCTCGCGACGCAAGAATCCCTCGTCAGTTACGTTGTATTCGCGTCCCCGAGGCCACGATCCCTTCTAAAATACTCCACGCTCGCGTCTCCGAAGCCACGATCCTGCGTAAAATAACCATATTCGCACCCCCGATGCCACGTACTCCAGAAATTACACTACATTCGCGCCTCCGAGGCCAAGATCCCTGGTAAATTACGCCACATTCGCGCCCCCACGGTTACGATCCCACGTAAATTACGTCACATACTCGCCTCTGGGGCCACGCTCCCCCGTTAATTACGACACAAACGCGCTCTGGAGGCTACGATCCCTTTGTAAATTACGCCACATGCGCCCCCGAAGCAACGATCTTCCGCAAATGATATTTCATTCGCGCTCCCGAGGCCACGATCCCGTGCAAATAAAGCTACAGTCGCGCCCCCGAGGCCCCGAGTAGCCCCCAGGAGGCCCCAAGAGGCCGTCAAAAGGCCCCAAGAGGCCCCAAGAGGCGCCCAAGACGCACCCAAGAGGCCTCCAAGAAACCCGAAAGATATCCCACGAGGCCCCAAGAGGCCCCCAAGAGGCGACCAAACCGCCTCCAAGAGGCTCCCCACGACACCCCAACACATATCCGCCGGCCCCCTTGTGGGGCCACCAGGCTGTAGGCCGAAGGTTCCCAGTTTCCTGTGCCAGTTGCAGCTTCCAGTTTCCACTGTTACAGTTCTGCTTCTTGCTGCTTACTGTTCCTTGTTGATGGACCGCGCGAGAGGGGGGAGGCCCGAACGGGCAGGTTTAGCACGCCCTGAGCGTGTGCTCTGACTTGCTGGGGTGGGTTCAAATTTACACCCATCACGCAGATCGGCGGGGTCAGGGTCCAAAAACACATGGGATTTGCAGCATTTCTGAAATTCGGAGTCACCCCTCACGCAGATCGGCGGGGTCAGGGTCCAAAAACACATGGGATTTGCCACATTTCTGAAGTTCGCTGGCAAACCTCAAGCAGATCGGCGGGGTCAGGGTCCAAAAACACATGGGATTTGCCACATTTCCGACATTCGGTAGCATCCCTCATGAGATCGGCGGAGTCAGGTTCCAAAAACACAGGGGTTTTGCCACATTTCTGAAGTTCGCTGGCAAACCTCAAGCAGATCGGCGGGGTCAGGGTCAAAAACACATGGGATTTGCAAATTTCCCACATTCGGTAGCACCCCTCATGAGATCGGCGGGGTCAGGGTCCAAAAACACAAGGGTTTTGCAACATTTCTGAAATTCGCTGGCAAACCTCAAGCAGATCGGCGGGGTCAGGGTCGGTAGCACCCCTCATGAGATCGGCGGAGTCAGGTTCTAAAAACACAAGGGTTTTGCCACATTTCTGAAGTTTGGTGGCAAACCTCAAGCAGATCGGCGGGGTCAGGGTCCAAAAACACATGGGATTTGCCACATTTCCCACATTCGGTAGCACCCCTCATGAGATCGGCGGAGTCAGGGTCCAAAAACACAAGGGTTTTGCTACATTTCTGAAGTTCGCTGGCAAACCTCAAGCAGATCGGCGGGGTCAGGGTCCAAAAACACATGGGATTTGCCACATTTCCCACATTCGGTAGCACCCCTCATGAGATCGGCGGGGTCAGGGTCCAAAAACACAAGGGTTTTGCAACATTTCTGAAATTCGCTGGCAAACCTCAAGCAGATCGGCGGGGTCAGGGTCGGTAGCACCCCTCATGAGATCGGCGGAGTCAGGGTCCAAAGACACAAGGGTTTTGCCACATTTCTGAAGTTCGCTGGCAAACCTCAAGCAGATCGGCGGGGTCAGGGTCCAAAAACACATGGGATTTGCCACATTTCCCACATTCGGTAGCACCCCTCATGAGATCGGCGGGGTCACGGTCCAAAGACACAATGGTTTTGCCACATTTCTGAAGTTCGCTGGTAAACCTCAAGCAGATCGGCGGGGTTAGGGTCCAAAAACACATGGGATTTGCCACATTTCCCACATTCGGTAGCACCCCTCATGAGATCGGCGGAGTCAGGGTCCAAAAACACAAGGGTGTTGCCACATTTCTGAAGTTCGGTGGCAAACCTCAAGCAGATCGGCGGGGTCAGGGTCCAAAAACACATGGGATTTGCCACATTTCCCACATTCGGTAGCACCCCTCATGAGATCGGCGGAGTCAGGGTCCAAAGACACAAGGGTTTTGCCACATTTCTGAAGTTCGCTGGCAAACCTCAAGCAGATCGGCGGGGTCAGGGTCCAAAAACACATGGGATTTGGACATTTCCAACATTCGGTAGCACCCCTCATGAGACGGAGTCAGGGCCAAAACACAAGGGTTTTGCCACCATTTCTGAAGTTCGTGGCAAACCTCAAGCAGATCGGCGGGTCAGGGTCCAAAAACACATGGGCGGCCACATTTCCCACATTGGTGGCACCCCTCATGAGATCGGCGGAGTCAGGGTCCAAAGACACAAGGGTTTTGCCACATTTCTGAAGTTCGCTGGCAAACCTCAAGCAGATCGGCGGGGTCAGGGTCCAAAAACACAGGGGATTTGCCCAACATTTCCACATTCGGTAGCACCCCTCATGAGATCGCGGAGGTCAGGGTCCAAAAACACAAGGGTTTTGCCACATTTCTGAAGTTCGCTGGCAAACCTCAAGCAGATCGGCGGGGTCAGGGTCCAAAAACACATGGGATTTGCGACATTTCCAACATTCGG